GCAAAAAGGGAGTTATCCAGGTGTCGGTGGAGCCGCACCGGCACGAGGGCGTCTTCATTTACCGCGGGGCCGAGGACGCGCTGGTCACGCTGAATATGGTGCCCGGGCTCTCCGTGTACGGCGAGAGGCGCGTCACGGTGACCGAGGGCGGCGTGAAGCAGGAGTACCGCACGTGGAACCCGTTCAGGTCCAAGCTGGCTGCGGCCATCCTGGGCGGGGTCGACCAGATCCACATTAAGCCCAAGTCCAAGGTGCTGTACCTAGGCGCCGCGTCGGGGACCACGGTCTCCCACGTCTCCGACATCATCGGCCCCGACGGCCTGGTGTACGCAGTCGAGTTTTCCCACCGCGCCGGCCGCGATCTGGTCAACGTGGCCAAGAAGCGAACCAACATCATCCCGGTCCTGGAAGATGCCCGGCACCCGCTCAAGTACCGCATGCTCATCGGGATGGTGGACGTGATCTTCGCCGACGTGGCCCAGCCAGACCAGTCCCGGATCGTAGCTCTGAACGCCCACACCTTCCTGCGCAACGGGGGCCACTTTCTCATCTCCATCAAGGCCAACTGCATCGACTCTACCGCGTCCGCGGAGGCTGTGTTTGCTTCTGAGGTGAAGAAGTTGCAGCAGGAGAATCTGAAGCCTCAAGAGCAGCTAACCCTGGAGCCCTATGAGAGAGACCACGCCGTGGTCGTGGGTGTTTATCGGCCCCTTCCCAAGAGCAGCAGCAAATAGCTCTCAGTTGAGGCTCTCCTTGGGGATCCCCCAAGACTGTGTCTTTGGTGTTGTGTAGTGTTTATGTACGTGTCTCTGTGATATTTTGTTTTGTTGTTTTTCTATTAAATGTCATAAAGAAACAGTACCCAAGAGTGACATGAGGCCAGGCTGAGTTTTGCTGCAGCAACACAATCCCCAAATCTTCTGTTCACATTGGCTAGTCACCTGACCAAGCCTGACTCCAGGAATAGGTCCTGGATACTGATGGACGGTAATACAGTTGGACACACCCAATGTGTCTGACTCAAAGCCAGGGTCTTAACCACAGTCAGTTTGTAATTCTTTAGCTAAGTTGCACCCCCTGTTCCAATTAATCTTCACATCCAGCCTGAGATGACTTTGTTACCATATTTGTATTACATATGAAGTAGCAGGGCTTTTGAAGGTAAATGAGCTGTCCAAATTTACATAGCCAGTAAAAAGGCAGAACTTAAATGCGGTCTTTGGGATTCCAGATACACTGCTGTTTCACTGGCTGCAGTGGAATTTTGTCTCTTCCTACTCCCATGGCACAGACTGGGACATACGGTCTCACAGTGTTCTCCTTCCTGCAGGCTACCCCTTTCTTAGGTTTCATAACAGCAAAACAAGGCGGGGGCACAGGACATGGGTCTGCCTAGCAGATGGTCCCACTGCAGGCATGACACACCCAAGTGTCTGCAGAACAGCTGGAAAAATTACTCCCAGGAAGTACCTGTCTCTGCAGGGAGATTCCTGCAGACGCTGAGATGCTGGACTTGGCAGGTTGGATTCTGGCTCTCCAAACCAGCCTGAAGGCAGCTGGGAAGTGAGCAACCCCAGGAGAGCTGAGAATGCCCACAAGCCTCGTGAATCACTCCAAACCAGAGGCCTTTGATATATTCCCTCATTCATACACTCAAAAAAAAAAAAATTGCCAACTGTGAAAGTCATCAACATTAGTCTGGGAATAATTATAGCTCACTGATGCATCATTTATTTGCCTACCTAAAGATGTGTTTAGGTGGAGATTATGGTTAGTCTCCTTTATCTGAGGGTGTAAAACAACGTATAAATTAGACTTTTGCTCGGGGTAGATGCGGATGGAATAAACCAGACTTTTAAAAGGCAACTACCCTTCACCACTCCACCCCACCTCACCCCAAAATTCAGCAAGAGAGCTGTAGTTCAGATTTGTTAGCAAGACAAGCTTTCAGAAAGAGAGCAAACGAGGTAACTGTCTACAAAAACCTCAAAGCAGGGGCTTCCCTAAACAAATGAATATTTTCATCACAGTTCTGTAAAGCCAGGATCCTCATTCCTATTTGACAGATGAGAAAACTGGCTTGGCACCCGTAGCTCAGTGGTTTAGGGCGCCAGCCACATACCCTGGGGCTGGTGGGTTCAAACCTGGCCCAGGCCTGCTAAACAACAACTACAAAAAAAAAAAATAGCCGAACATTGTTTCAGGCACCTGTAGTGCTAGCTACTTGGGAGACTGAGGCGAGGGAATTGCTTAAGCCCAAGTGTTTGAAGTTGCTGTGAGGTGTGACACCATGGCACTCTACCGAGGGCAGCATAGTGAGACACTGTCTCAAAAAAAAAACAAACAAAAAAACACTTGCAGTTTAGAGAGATGATATGATTTAAGATCCCCTAATAAGGCTCACAGCTAAAAAATCAAGCTTGTCAGTCTGACTCCAAAATCCATGTCCTTTTCACTGAAGTTTATGATTCTGTTGCTTTGAAAAGCCCTCTCTCCAAATCCTAGGCTCATGGATTGGTTGCTGGGATGACACCCTCACGCTGGGGGGACTTTTTTCTCAGTCAGAGATTATAGGATCAGAGTGTGGGATCTTTTTTCTCAGTCAGAGCTTACAGGATCAGGGCAGTAGGAGGGAAGGCCTCTGCCCCAACTAGGGCCCAGGAGCTGGACTTTCCTCAGAGCCAGGTGGGCCTGCACAGGGGGTCTTGGTTCTTCCTTACAGGGTGAGGGACAGAGTAGGGGAAACTTAACCTCTGTTTTGAGGGCGGACACTCTCCTACTTCCTGGTCTCCATACAATATATAGTCCACATCTGTGGCTCCTGGAAGTAGAGATTGTCAGTGAAATGGTATGAAAACAGTCTCCTGAGGAACTCCACTGAGCTGTAGCCAGTTCCCAAGCCAAGGGAATGGTGTAAGTAGCCAGAGAAAAGCAGGGATGAGGCCCACGGAAATGTAGGAGGCAAAATGGAACCTGGGTTTGGAGGATGAGGGCAGAAGGATGGGACTGTCACTGCTGCCTCCTGGAAGATCTAGAGGTGGCAGTGACGCCGGCACTACACTGCTCGGAGCTGGGAATGCTTCCCTGATCATCGGTTTTGAATGTGGGTCTCATCTCCCAGTGTCTTAGTACGTTGTAACAAATTACCACAGAACTGGGTAGCTGCAGTCACCTCAGCAGCAATGCACTGAGGCTGGAGGCTGGTGTTCAGAGGCCACGCGAGACAGGACCATGTGCCAAAGGGAGTTAGCAAGAGCCAGTAGGGAGGCTTGGCGTCTGTGACTCAAGCGGCTAAGGCGCCAGCCACATACACCTGAGCTGACGGGTTCGAATCCAGCCTGGTCCCACCAAACAACAATGATGGCTGCAACCAAAAAATAGCTGGGCATTGTGGCAGGCGCCTATAGTCCCAGGTACTTGGGAGACGGAGGCAGGAGAATTGCTTGAGCCCAGGAGTTGGAGATTGCTGTGAGCTGTGATGCCAAAGTACGCTACCCAGGGTGACAGCCTGAGGCTCTGTCTAAAAAAAAAAGAGCTAGCAGGGAAGAGGAGCAGACAGATGAAACCTCCCACTCCTGCCGACCACCACCGTATCTGCCAGCTGCTCTCACTCAGCAGTCTCCTGCAATGAAGGAAAGAAAAATGGGGCAGGACAGGAGGGCTGAGGGAATGGACCTTTATCAAATGAGGCTGTTTTTTAAAATTTCAGATTGATATGAAGATACAGACGATTAGATTACATTATTTACGTTTGTTAGGTAGAGTCAAAGTTGTAGTTGGGCCCCTCGGCCCGGAGGTGTGCCAAAGTACCCCTACACTGTGCCCATTAGGTGAGAGCACACCACACCCCTTCTTCTTCCCCCTTCCCCCCATTTTAGTTTAACTGTGTTTCTCTCTTCTGTGGGTGTTTATTTGTTTGTCTACTGGTTTCGTATTAGTATTGAGTTCATTGGATACTTGTTTTTCTACTCTTGTGATACTTTACTAAGGAGAATGTTCTCCAGCTCCATCCAGGTTAGTACAAAAGATGCAAAGGCTCCATTATTTTTATGGCTGAAGAGTATACATATATGTATATATAAACATATATCCATGGATACAGGTAATGCAGTTTATTAATCCGCTCATGTGTTGGTGGGCACTTGATTTGATTCCACATCTTAGTGATTTGTGAACTGAGTTGCAATAAACACTCTAGTGCAAATGTCCTATGGTAAAATAATTTTCTTCTTAAGTTCTTTGACGATTCTCCACCTTTCTTTCCAAAGAGTCTGTATTAGTTTACAATTCCACCAACAGTGTGTAATTGAAACTGAATTCCATGAAACTCTCTCTCTCTCTTTTTTTTTTGTTTACAGAGCCTCA